AATAAAATTGTGCAGTAAGACACAAAGAATTTTAATTATCGTGTCTAKTTTTTCTGGTTTTCGACTTATTGGTGAACTCAAAATCGTGTTAATTTTCTTCTGCGATTTCTCAATTTTAAGTACCCTAAACGTGTAAATATTTTTCCAAAASCTTATATGGATTTTCATCATTAAAATAAAATAAATACTTATGAGTTACAATTATATAATATAAACAATGCGTTCGTAATTTGATATTTATCTCTGCCTCGATTGCTTTTTGGAGTATACCTATATAGTATAAAGCCAATCATATGTATATTTTAATTTAATCCCTATGRTTAGTATTACTAACTAAGTAGTTTAACTACTTGTATAAGTGTATAATTAATGTAGTTATATAATTTATTAAGTCGGGGGTGCCAAAATCTTAAGAAATATGGCCCTGTACATAAGGCTACGAGGGTAATCGCACAGCCGACCTTCATATAAAATATGCCAGTTTATCGGATCATCATTTATCATGTAGTAGCAGTGCTGAAGACGTTTGTGTGAGTAATAAACTTACATGTATTATACAACTGTTGACGTCATGTTGTGACGATTTACGTAGGTAACGAAAAGCGTCGTTATGTGCCGTCAGATATTCCTAGAGGCTAGAGCGGCTTACTCACGCAAAATAAACAACATTTATGCATCTCATCGGATTTATTATGGGTTGGGTGTATGATACCGAATCGACATTCGACAACAGAAAAACGTGATGCGCATTGCGGCGCGTGTAAATGTGTATTTTCATAATATTAATTTTTTTTTTTTTAAATTTAAATATACACAATCTGTAAATGTTGTTTTTCAATAAGTGCATATGATGGAGGTGACATGGCTTGAGTGGCTGGAGATAAGAAGCCGCCCATAGGAGGCACTTAAGGTTAGGATTTTAGGCTTGGATTTTAATTTGCTAGTAAGAGAGGGCGGGATTACAAAATTAAGGTGAGGTAGGGGTATATACAATTTATAATAATATTAATAACACGGAAAAGTTTTGTYATCAACACGTTTCGATATCACTCGTCCAAGCTGCGCAGAAGCTTCAATGAGCGGCCCTGTTAACCCCTCTGCCATTACGCGTAATTTCGCCGATGGTCTTGCCGTCGGGCACGGTTGTCTGACGTCTAATTCTGTTTTTTCCAATGGTTAAACCGAACGTTGCAATGTCGCAATGTCTGTAACGTCTTTGTTCACCGTCCGCGCGTGCCGCCGTGAAAACCTCGTGCGACCACAAGATTCGCGTTTGTCGCTGCTGTCGTCGACTGGCATTCACGACTAATAAGTTATCGAGTTTTTGTTGTCCGTCTTTGCGGTTGAGCAGAACGCAGCGTCGCTTTCATTCGCCACCCAAAGTGTTGCAACAATATGTAGTTGCTGAGATTTTAACGCACACCTGTGATGCGGCTTTTACAGCTATAGTCTGACACAGCGGCTTAAGCTAGCGTATTGCGTATGACAATGACACCGAACTTATCTTTACACTTCTTCGTGGGTCTACGTTTCCGATTCTCCGGGAATTTTGWGTGAGACGAGGCACACGACAGGGCCRCAGGGGAAGTATTCTCGAATTCGGAACAGTCTTGCATCAAMCCGTTTCGCTAGGACTCYTCCAAAGTGTGCGGAAGCTCCAATGGCTGTTCCCTGTTCGCTGTCCTCTGACGTCCCACGCCTGCAGCATAGTTCACCGTAATAGTCTTAACCGTCAACCGTACGGCCGCGCGTCGTCCCTGCAGTTTCCTAACGTAAATCACTGTTCTGGCTGATTTACATGCACACGGAGAAAAACAAAATAGCTTGCAGTATTAGTATTATGTCCCATCTGGTGCTGGCGATTTTTATTCTGACCATGCTGTTTTGAACGCACAAATGCGGCAAAATGCAAGTTATATTCTTTTCTCCCTCATTCGTGCAAATCAACTAAGATATCTGTAGCTTATTAATATGTTTCGAATGTTTCGATTATAATATTATAAGTCGTCCAAACAAAAAATCTCGTTTATATAGTTATTACTTATTATCAATAATTATAAATATGACTAATATGAGTTTTTTAACCAATTACTAGTGACCTACAAAATAAATCAAAAACTCAAAATCGACAAAATCGTCACTTGACATATATTGTTATCAATTATTAAATCACTACCAGTATATTTRGATGAATCCAAAATTTCCTTTTTTTTATTCTAGACTTAAAATTATACAAGCTGTAGCCCTGTAGCTGCGATCGCAACATCGTTTTTAAAYCACAATTTGGTAAAGAATAAATGTTTACAAATCACTCCACAACTGTTCTGAACGCATATATGTTTTTAATTTTTTTCGGTAACTTGGTTGGATAAATGTTATCGAATTTCGTCGACAACAATGTTTCATGTTTTGTTTCTTAGTGTGAACCGGCCTTCAATTATTCCGAATGTTTTTCTCGATAATTACCTAATTATAGGTATAAAAGAATAATGAACATTTTACAAATAGTAAAATATATATTATGTGTTATTATTTAACGTCTTAACTTAAATTTAAGTATTTTAATTCGAAGAATCATCGTACCTACAAATCGCTATGCACCCGTGCTCGTTACATATATAATAATGATTTTCATAACCGTCGCAGCTGCAGTCAGGCTGTCCTGTTGTCTTGTTTTTGTAAATTGTATAGTTATATTTGTTTTTGACTACCTATCGGGTGCGATTACGAGATGGCAATGAAAAAAAAGCATTAAAAATACTAAAATGTTTTTTYGCTAGGTATACTCGAAAATTAGAATCTTTATATTTTCCGTTTAATTATTTAATATTATATATATATATTGACTATTTTTTTTTTATTGAACTTAAAAACATCAACATCAAAAGTTATTAGTTTTTGTTTAATACATAATGAGTTATTTCTAGAACTAATATTATACAATCAATATGGTGATTATTTTGTGCGATATCCACTGACATTAATATTATGGTTATCGTTAGGAGGTTTAAATTGTATCGTATATGTATAGGGATGTTTCGATGCCTGGTCCTAATGCTTTATTCATGTTGGTTGGAATGTTGAATCTTCTGAGTTCGTCGGAATATTGGTAGCACTCTGTTATTATATGTTTTACTGTTAGTCTAACCCCACAGACTGCATTGAGGGCACTCCTCTTTGGCCATAAGGAATTTGTGAGTCAGCCTAGTGTGGCCTATTCGGTGACGAKTGATTATAATTTTTTCTCTCCTGCTGAGATTCGGGTCTTGCCAGTTTAAAATTGTGTTTTTTATTTCCCGAATTTGGTCAGTTGTATCGACCAGTGCATTTGCATTTTATTTTAAATTTGTTTTCAATATGAGTTTAGATGTTATCATAAGTTACAMTATCCATAAGTTGTGTATAATTGTTTGGTACGCCACTTTGTTCCCTTTTATATTTGTGTGACCCAGTATCCAAATGAAAGTGATATTTATTTCCCTAAGTTTTAATTCGTCGGTTTATTCTTGTATGATTTTAGCAATATCTGATGAGGTTTGTTGTATTTTCTAAACTTTGTAGTGTGCTCAACGAGTCAGTGAGTATCAGGTTGTTTATTAATTTTCTATCCTGATTTTGTATGTATTCTGTTGTGTTGARGATGGCTAATGCATCGGCGGAAAATATGGAATATTCATTTAGCAATCTGTATTTTAATTGTTTTATCAGTGTRTACAATTGCAATGCTAACTCCTTATTTTGTTTTCGAAACATCTATGAAGAACATATTCCAATTTTGGTAGTTGTAATATTTACTATTGTAAATCTAATAAAACTAAGTTAGTCAGTACTTTTTTATACAACAGTACATATATACATAATATACAATCTCTAGTCTATACGATTAAATGCACCAAAAGTGTATAAGATATCTATAATTTTCAAATTTCAACAAATTAAAGAAAACTAACTGAATATAAAAGTAGACTGTCCTTAGGTAAACAAAAAATACCTAACCAATTAATACTTATGTCATGTGATAGACAATAGTGAATTTAGTATAACCAAAAATAATTATAAATCAAAATCCAACAATTCATCATTAAAATKTTTACCAAATATAAAATATTTTTAATTCATGTTATACTTTTGATTTTTAATATTAATTATGACTGTGAGTTAATGACTTATTTTTAATTTGTACACTATTTTTATTTAAAAAATATTGCATTGAAATTATMAAATTAATTATTCATTAAATCTTGGATATAATAGATACAAATTYAAGCACTAAACGTGGTATTTAATTAATTTATGTAACATATAYGAGAAAAAAAATCAAAATTAAGGTGTTGCATAAAGACGTTGATCTAGATAGAAATATATTATTAGCAAAACTAGTACTATGAGAAAAAATAAAGAAAAATGTAGGATACCAAGAATGATATAGAGGGATGTTAAGTTGCATGTTTGTTAATAATAATTAAGGAGATTTGATAGGGTCATTAATGATGAATAACTTAATGGTATAACTCAGAGGTATTCAAACTTTTTCAGCACGTGGCTCATTTGGATGGTCACAATAATATTTTTACGGCTCCCAAATTATTATGAAATGGCACACRGATACAATGTTGGAAATATGCTATATGGGTGATACTAACAGTGAATAGATTATAGAAATAAGACTYCAAATGGTTGAATCGTAAAGTGTGTCATTTTCATTTCCATAATGATTGCAAATAATATTTATAATAATTATACAAGATCTAGGTATGATGTTGGTTTTYGGTGCTTTGATGTGGCTCCCTTTGCAAACTCTCGCRACACCCCTAGGAGCCGGGAAATAACTTATTGTTGAAGTAAATTCAACATTTAAATAATATTGAATTATTGTCATTGAATAATCAATTTTTATAATAGTTCCATAATTTTATAATTTGACTCAAATTGTAAACTAGAAAACATAAATAACAAATATTAGATAGCTTAGATTTATCAACATTAGTTAGACGARTGTAGTWAACAGRAAATTGATTTTAATAACAAAATTGTAAATACACATTAATTAACAATTCCAATTTCTTTTTCCCAATCATATTGTGAATACATCATATCTTTTAATAAAGTCTGACCATTAACTTTTTCAGCTTTGTTGTCTGCTACAATCTCAACATTGTCTAAAAATACAAACAGTATAAAATTAAAATATATACAAGTAAAATTTAAAATAGAAATACACTACATTTAATCACTAACCCAATAATGCTGGCTTTAACAAGCGTAATGATTTGGTGAACTCTGGTAAATTATATCTAGCCACATTTGATAAAGCTTTTACTAAATGATATGGTATTTTACGTTGGCACAAAAATTCCGGTAATAAAGTCAGCCAGCTACTAAATTCTTCGACTCTAAATTAATGATAAAGTTAAACAATGTATTTAATAAATTAATATAGTTAAAAAATTAGAAATAAAACATAGTAACTTACTCTTCAGCTATTTTTAAATGTGTTTTCGATGTGATTGAACACAAGTAATTAAACACTAACTTTGTTTTCTCTTGACGATGACGACTATCAGTTGTTACCATTTCATTGTGAATAATAACTAATTTTTCTATGACAGAATTCAAATCAAAGGAGTCTTTTGGTTTAATCAAATCAGTGTTGTCAGATACAGTTTCTATACAATGCATTAGTGCAACAAAAGATTGATGATCAATTGACTTGAATGAATTCAATGAATCTGAAAAAATAAAGGTAAATAATAAAGTTCATAAATTTCAAAAATTTAATTATAACTTAATGTTTACTGTTAATATATAAAGATATGATTTTGACTGGTACAGGTAATATTTTATATTTGCTGAGTAAGAAATATATAAGACACAGGTCTATATTTTGTTTGGAACACTTTGTGTCAGATTGTAYCATACTGTCTCCAAATAAATCCAAGACTACATCTGTGTCAGTTTTGTGTTTTTTGACTTTGTCTGGAGTACGGCCCCCACTGTTGAGTGTAATATARGGAAAACCATTTGTTATAAAAGTTTGACAAATCTTAGGCCCATAATTAATGCTGAACCAATTCATCTGAAATTGTAATATTACATATAATATACATATAATTTTT